AGGGGCGGAGCGGGGCCTCGGGGCCCGGCGGGCTGCCGCTCAGGGAGGGAGCAGCCTCGGGGGTCTTGTTGTCCCTTCTTGACTCATCCTCACCCTTCACCTTAGAGCAGGGGCGCCCTCCCGGGCCGGCAGGGACGGGGGCGCCTGTGCGCGCTGGGGAATCCGCCGTCCCTCAGGGGCGCCTTGGTCGGGGCGCCTTAACCTGGCCGGGCCGCTGCTCTTCTCCTCAGCTCTGCCTTCGGTGTTGGTGGTTCATAAGGGCTGCTGCACATTGGGTGAACGTTGCTATAAGGCTTAAACGCGAAAGCCGGGGTGGAAACAGGGAGCTGTTAGGAAGGGGATCGTCCTTCCCCCTACCTGCTTTGTTCAGGGAATGGCGTATGAGGCCTTGATCCAGAACGAGGCTTTTTTTGTTGTAACTGGACCCGATAACTAAAGATGCTGCGAATGGCCAGGATTCCAGTGCCTGAACTGGAGGCTGCTGGAGAGTGTGGTGATAAACGGGAGCAGACGTAATCGGGGTTAGAAATAGTTCCTGCGGAGAGCTCTGAAATACGCCGTGGTGTCGTGCTAGTCGGTTAACTCGCCTCTCTTCCCGGGTAGCGGCCGGAGTTTGGTGAGCCTATCCCTGCGGTGCCGATGCTTCCACGCTGCGGTGGCGCTCCTGAAGAGAAAGACTGGAGCAGATCACCAGTGGCTGGAGCGGCATTTGAGGGACCCCTTTGTCAAGGCAACGAAGCAGCAGAATTACCGCTGCCGAAGTGCCTTCAAATTACTGGAGATAGATGACAAGCTTCACATCCTCCGTCCAGGACTTTCTGTGCTTGACTGTGGAGCGGCGCCTGGCGCTTGGAGTCAGGTTGCTGTAGAGAGGGTCAATGCCTTGGGTACTGGTAAGTGCACACGCGCTGGCACCTGAGATGGAGGTAACGCTCGTTTTGAAGTGTGTGGGAAAGCTCAACTGTGCTGATGGCGGAGCGGGGAAGGTACGTGGGTACAGACTGTCGCCACAGCCACTGATAGAAATTTCAAGTAGCAAAGAACTCAAGATTCCTGGCCCCAGGGTGATAGTAAAGAAGCGTAATTCTTCATATGGTCTGGAGAAATCATATCTATGAAATTAAACCCTGGGATGAGGTGCTGCTATAAGACTAGCTAAGTCTTCTGCTTAGCTGAGTTGGAGGAAGTTACTATATAAAAGGCTAATGAAAAGGCTGGGTGAGATCCCCTCTTCATCTGCCTCTGAAATTCATGTGGCCTCCAGCGGGTAACTTACTAAATTTTTGTTTCCTTTCTTGAATAACGGCAGTAACCACTACATACAGCTTATGTGATTTAGGCCACTAATATTTATAAGATAAAGTATTATCGTCTGTATTATTGTCCAGAATTTTTGGACTGCCAGCCTCGAAAAAATCGACAGAAAAAAACCAACAAAAATACCTCTTGCGTATCTGGAATAACTGCCTTTTAATGTTTTGTATGGAGTAGCCTATAGCAAACCGTCTATCCAGATATGTGCAGCAAACTCTTTATGGAAGGACAGGGAGACCGTGTTTGGCTGCTGATACGTTTTTGTGTATTGAATATCATGGAGCTCAGGTATATGCAAGTTGCTTGTAGCCCTTATATCATAAGAGCGATCAGTGTGTCATTCATTCTGACGACAACTCTTTGTTTTCTAGATCCTACTGTCCCTACTGGTTTTGTCCTTGGAATTGACCTTCTGCGTATTTCCCCACTGGACGGAGCAGTCTTCCTGTCAGAGACTGATATTACAGACCCAAGCACGCTTAGGACAATTCACAGTCTGCTTCCTGCAGAGAAGGTGGATGTTATCTTGAGTGATATGGCACCTAATGCAACAGGCATCAAAGAACTGGACCATCAAAAGTTGATCAGCTTATGTTTAGGCCTTCTGAATCTGTCGCAAAGCCTTTTAAAGCCAAAAGGAACTCTGCTCTGTAAATTCTGGGATGGACAGGACTCCCGCCTTCTTCAAGGCAGACTGAAGGAGCAGTTTCAAGACGTGAGAACTGTAAAGCCTCAGGCTAGCCGGAAGGACTCTGCTGAATCTTATTACTTGGCAAGACTGTACAAAGGGAAATGAAAGCTGAGAATTGCAGATTATCGAACTGGTGATCAGACACTGATTGGAAATCTTTACTTGGCAGGTATTTAAAAAAAAAAAAAAAAAGGCAGGCATGAAGACCTCCAACATCAACTGTCACATTGTTGAGAACAACCTGGGAGAATATACTGCAATTCTTAGGAAGTACATCATGCTTTTCAAGTACAAAAGTAAAACCAGGATGGTGCCCTGCTGAGTTTATCCACTAATTATACGAGCAGAGACATCCAATTTAGCTTCTCACCTGTGGAGAAAACTGTTGGGAATGAAGAGGAATAATCTGAAAGGCAACCTCTGGGGCTGGAGTAATGGAAATAAAAATAAAACAGTGATTACAGGTTTTTTTTTTTTTTAATGCGTGTGCTTGAAAATCATTGCACTACTACTGCTGTCATATTGGAGACTAACCGTAAAGGCAGTTTCCAAAATGAGAGGGGACAACAAGGGGAGTGTGAGCCAATTTATTTCTTCTCTGTCTTTCTTAAAAGCTGGTACAATTTCTTAGCACGCTTAAAAATAGATAACACTCTTGTGCATGTCAGAGTCTGCGTTGTCACATACAATCTATAATGCAGACGTTCAGAACGTATGACTCCGGCTCTGGGATATTGCAAAGCTTGGTGGCTTTGCTGCATTAGCTAAAGACACGTGTTATATTTAGAAATTGTTACTTCATTGTACTCATAAATCCAGTAAACGACAGAGGCTCATCACAGTTGAGAAAATAATTTTTCCCTATATCTTCAGTAATGCTTCATGTTTCACTAGTGATGTTTGTTAGGTAAAATGGCGAGATGTTCCTTGGATCCCAGATAGGTAAAATTACTGGTTGAATTGTAGAGTTCTATTTGCAAAAATAAACATAGCTACTATCTTATCTGGAAGTGACAGCTTTTACATTAAATAGGTCTTTTATCAAACTCTGTGAGGCATGAGTTACAGGAGGGGCTGGTAGCACTGCCTGTTTTTAAGGCTTCCAGATATTTCTCATTATAGACACCTCATTTTCAATGGCTTAAAATATATCAAATTTTAACTAGTTTGTCTGAAACTTTCAATTCTGGATCTCTCTACTTCAACAGTATGCCTGGAAGTGTTAGCCAAACAGCCTAAACTAGGAAGCTGGATGTTGATTTGCGTATGTTTGGGGGGAACAATTATGGCAGTCTGCTATTTGAAAACTTTGTTACCCTGTGATTTGGTAGCAACTACAACTGAGCAGGATGTTTCTATTAACCATGTGCTGTTTACTTTTGTTGCTCTGACTGCGGTTGCGGGAGGGGAGGATGAATTCTGACTGAACAGGAGTGTTGAAAGCCTGTCCGTGGGACAGGGTGAGAAGAGGGAGGAGAAGGGCGGCCAAAGTGGTGCTGGAAATGAGGCTGGATGCTAGAGAGGCTGTAAGGAGGGAAAGAAAGAGCAAACGGGACAAGGCCTAGAGTTTGGGGGGAGCCTGGAGGTAACAAGGACAACGTGAGGAACGCAGAAGTCTGGCGGAGCTGGCGTTGCAAACGGACAGCCGCAGGGAGGCCGAGCTTGGAAGATGCGGGCGGGAGTCCATCGTGGGAGGGCCAGCTACAACCCCTTCTCCGTGACGGTATTTCCCCTCTGAACTGGGAACGGAGCCCTGCTGCTAGACTGATTGTCTCCCTCTGCGAAACCCACGGGCAAAGCCTGTGTCTTGCTGATGTTTAGTGCCTGGAGCATCTAACCTACATAGCGCGGACTCTGGGGAAAGGATGAAAACAGAGGCTGCATGCCTCAAAGCGGGCCCCCGGGACTGCTGGCTTTTTGCTGTTACCTGCCTTTTCTTTTCCCTGTAAAATGAGGTTGATACTTAAACTTATGATCACAATAGCCCCATGGGATGAGCTTTCGCAGTTTTCTTTTAATCCCCATAGATCTCTATTTTACTGATACTTTAAAAGTGAGCGATGAGAATCTAAGAAACAGCCGGAGCAGCTCAGTTTTCTGGAGGGTTTGCTAAGGGCAGCAGCAGCTGATCAGAGCTAACGCTCCCCTTTATCTTTCCCAGGATTTTGCTTTTTTCACTCCGCAGCACCGGCACGTGCGTGGGCTTGGCGAGAGGCAGGTCCTGGCCTAAGGGCAGAGGGGACGGGGCAGCGTTTTGGGCAGCCGGGGGCAGAGCGAGCGCCGCATGTTATGGGGCAGCGGAGCCGTGCTGGGGCGCGCCGGCCGGACATTACGGTAGGCGGCGCTGCTGCGCGCACG